TGTAAGAGGAATCGCTAGCTCTAGGGGTATGCGCATTTAAAATGTTGCTGGTTGGCACTTCCTTGAGCGAGCGGGGTGTGAAGGCGCCTGTGTCCTCCCACTTGGCCACCATAACACGTGATCAGACTTTTAGACTTTGAGGCAAACATGTTCATGTCTTATAGACCTTTATTTTGGTCAGTACCTTCAGGTTTGTAAACTATATGCTTATCCTGCTGCTTTTTAATACTGTTACCAAAATTATCTATCATCTCCCTACTTTGGAAGATAAGGATTTAGCTTCCTTACCCTTCCCTCCCATGATCGTATTTCTCTCCCTCTCCCCTCTTACTCCCGTTAAATCAGTTTTTAGCATTTAGCGTTGGCATTAGTATGACTGACTATTGTTCTGGGCTAAGCCACATAGTTTGCTAAAATTGCCTTTCTTTGTAATATAATTTGTTATTCCTGGAGTTAAAAATTACTTAGGGGGCGCCTGGGTGGCTCAGTTGGTTGGGCATCCGACTTCCGCTCAGGTCATGATTTCACGGTTCGAGGGTTCCAGCCCCACATCTGGCTCTGTGCTCAGAGCACAGAACCCGCTTCGGATCCTCTGTCTCCCTCTCTCTCTGTTCCTCCCCTGCTCATTCTCTCTCTCTCTCTCTGTCTCTCTCTCTCAAAAGTAAATAAACATTTTTAAAAATTACTTAGTTTTCCATATTATCTGTCATTCATTAATTTTATAGGTACATGTCACTTATTTTTGTCAGAGCCACACAAATCCCCGCAGCCTAACACCTCTCGGTTTTTCCCTCTTGGAGCCCTGCCTTCCCTCTCCTGCAGGGTTGGTCCCCTTAAGCCTCTGCTCAGCTCTCGTCCTCAACTTTCCCTTCCCATCCTCCTGGGTCTTCTCTTTTCTGGATCCTGTAACTTTCTTTGCCTTAGTTTAATCCTTTGTTATTGATGGAGTACATTTTCCAGAAGTTTCTAGTGAATACCCTGGAGGTAAGTGTTTTCAGATTTATATGCCTGAATCCAAGTTTCTTTATTCTATCCAAATATGTGACTTGGCTAGGAATAGCCCTCTGGCTGGGACTAATTTCTCCCTCAACACTTAGAAGGAACAGCTCAGCTCTGTCTTCTCCTGACTCCCAGTGTTGCTCTTGAAAAATCTCATGTAATTTTGGTTCCCTCATCTTTAGGTTGATTTGCTTTTGCCCTGTCCAGAAACATTTAGATCTTCTGAAATTTCTCAATAATATGTTTTGTGTTCTTACCTATTGTAGTGACCATTCAGTGGGCTCTTTAACTTAGTAAGTCATGTCCTCCATATATGGGAAATTTTCTTTTTACTTTGACAGTATTATAGCTCATACCTTCTCTGCTCTTTTTTTCTGGGACACCTCCTAGTTGGATAGTGGACCTCTTTGTTGGTCCTCTCATTTTCTTATCCTTTTTCTTCTATTTTCTATCTTTGCTGTCTTGTTGGATGTTCCACAAAATTTCAATTTAAGCTAGCTTCGTTAGATTATTGATTTCAATTCATAGCCTCAATTGATAAGAGCATTTTCTTGTTCTCTAAATATCCCCTTTCATATCATCTTATTCTTATTTCAAGAGTGTATGGGGGGG